TGAAATTTTGTGGTATGCTATTGTAAACTTCAGGCATCTCCAAGAAAGATAAGAAAATAGATACAAGTCAATAGAAAAGTAAAAACTGAATCATAAAATCATCCAAAAGGAGAAAAAAAAAAAGGAAAAAAGAGCCCACATAGCCTATGAATACAATCTGTTTCTAAGGCCTACTATCCACCTAATAAGGCTGACTTTTACAAAACACAGTTATGCCTAAGTAAATCTGATTTTTTTTTCTGCCAGTTGTGGGGCTTGAACTCAGGGCCTGGGCACTGTCCTTGAACCTCTTTGTGCTCAAGACCAACACTGTACCACTTGAGCCACAGCACCACTTACAGTTTTTAACTGGTTAATTGGAGATAAAGAGTCTCATGGGGTCTTTTCAGCCCAGGCTGGCCTCAAACCGCAATCCTCAGATCTCAGCCTCCTGAGTAACTAAGATTATAGGTGTGAGCCACCAACACCTGGCTGATGTTTATGTTTTGTTATTGTTTGGTCCTGGGGCTTGAACTCAGGGCCTGGGCTCTATCCTGTCACAGGTCCACTTCCAGTTTTCTGGTGGTTTCTTAGAGATGAATGTCTTAGGAACTTTTCTGCCTGGGGTTGGCTTTGAACTGTGATCCTCCTCAAATCTCTGCCCCTGAGTAGCTAGGATTATAGGTGTGAGCCACCAACACTCACCTGACTTTATTTTTAATAAGGAAAAAAAAAGTAAGGAGTCTCTATCCTGCTAAGTTAAATTTTAGACCAAAAACAGGCAAATAAACCTTCTGTTTTATTAGTCCATATATATAACGAGTCATTTCATACAGAAAACTGCTGAACACTCATACACTAATTACTAAGGAGGCCAGAAATGGAAGAATCACAGTTCAAGGTCAGCCCAGGCAAAAGTTAGTGGTATTCCATCTTAATCTATAAATCAGGTATAGTGGTACACCACTATGATCTCAACTACATGGGAAGTTATAGGTGGAAGGATCATGGTTTAAGGCTGACGTCAAGCAAAAACTCAAGACCCTTTTAGAAAAATAACTAAAATTTAAAAAAGGACTGGCAGCCTAGCTCAAGTGGCGGAAGCCTGCATAACAACAAGCCTGAAGCCCTGAGTTCAAACCCTAGTACCAACACACACATGCACACACAGAGTATGTGCGAACTGTTACAAGAAAATGTGACATGAACTCCTCTAGCAGGTGCTTTCACCAAAAGATGCTCCCACCATCCACTTGATTAATAGGAGATGCATTGACAAAGTAGCCATATCTCCTAGCAATGCTTCAAAGAGCGCCAAATGCCATCAACAAAGACATAACAGCTTCCTTCCTACCTGATCTCCATGACTATGGTTGCAGACAAGTTATTCCAACCCACTGGAGTCTAGGGTATGAAGTGAGACCATAGTCTAAGCCTCACTTGGAAGTCTTTGTTTTGTTCAAAACTCACATGGAGGATGGTCTGGGTCACAAGTGAATGGAGGAATCAGCAGCCCCTCGCTCCAGCCCAGCTCAGCGGTGACTTGTGTCTCTGCGCACAGGGCTATAACACATGCATGAGGAGTGTTTCTCTGCAGAATTTTGGCAACTAAGAGACCAAATACCACTCCCCAGCGCGAAGGAACAGTCTTCTCAGAGAGGAAAAGCATACTCTCACAGCTCATGTCACTGTAGCTGACTTCTAGATTCAGTCTGATAAAAATAATTGAGTTATAAAGACCAAAAAAGGGATAAGAAAATATGAGTATCTGATTTCTTTAAAATCAGACACAATAAGCATTCAATTAAGTGTCCAGTTACAAAGAGAAGTAACATTTCCAGCTTTTAGTTTCTTTTGAAGATAAACACATTCACCACCCAACTCTTCACTCCTCTATTTAACGGAGAAATGAACCTGCGTGCTCACAAAAGAGCTGTGGATGTTTGCAGCAGCTTTATGCGCAAGACCCAGACCAACCTAATGTCCATCAATTGATAAATGGGTTTAAGTGGCAAGAAAGGAATGAACTTCTGAGACATGCATTACAAATCTCTGAAGTATCATTCCAAGAGAAAGAACCTGCCACCAAAGATGGTCAGTGGTCCCCAAGCTGGGGGGGGGGGAAGGAGACCTGATGGCATCAGGCTGCGGGACTGGAGGGCATGTCTCACCTTCATTCCTGCTGGTGATTATACAACCACAGGCTCTTGTTAGGAATCATCCGCTGTGCACTTACTTGTGACTTCAACGCATGAAAATGATAACGGACAGCGCTCCCAAATACCAACTAGTAGCTAGCTGAAAAATGAAGTGGGGAAAAAGTCCTATTCCTCATAGTAATTAAAACAGTAAAACTTAAGAATAAATTTAACTAAAATACTACCCAACTCCACTGAGTGGCATAAAAGAGATTTGCACCAGTGGAAAGATGGTGCAATGTCAAATTAATCAACAACCCAAGAGTACTGGGGTCAAGTTGCCAGTGGAGTTTATAAGGACCAGACATTACAGAGGTCACCGATAGTAATAGCATTTGCGGGATTATGTATTAATTTTCCCTGTGAAGCTAATTTAGTAGAGGTGATGAGACACACCTCTTTCAGAACCACTCTGGAGTTGTCCATACAGCCTCTGAAATAAACACTCTGGCATGTTTCCATGTCTGCTGTACATTCTAAAAACACTCCACAGGGGCTGGGCGCTGGTGGCTCACGCCTGTAATTCTAGCTACTCAGGAGGCTGAGATCTGAGGATTTGGGTTCAAAGCCAGCCCCGGGTAGGAAAGTCTGTGAGATTCTTATCTCCAATAAACCACTGGAAACCGGAAGTGACGTTATGGCTCAAGTGGTAGAGCATTCACCTTGAGCGCAAGAGCACAGGGACAGCGCCAAAGCCCAGAGTTCAAACTCCAAGACTGACAAAAAAACAACATCAATGGGGCTGGGAAGGTGGCTCAGTGGTAGAGCACTTGCCTTGCATGCATGAGGCCCTGGGTTCAATTCCCAGCACCACATAAGCAGAAGAAAAAAAAAGCCGGAAGTGGTGCTGTGGCTCAGTGGTAGAGCGCTAGCCTTGAGCTGAAGAGCTGAGGGACAGCGCCCAGGCCCAGAGTTCAGGCCCCACGACCAGACCCAAAAAACAACAACAACAATAACAACACTTCACAGGGTGAGATACAGCCCATGAACTGAGCATATTTTTCCCTTTGTGTCTTATCTAAACTTAATTCACAATTTTAGTTTTCAAGAACCTGCTAAATAACAACAAAAGCTCACACAGAAATGCAGCAAGACATTCATCTCTGTACAAGAGCATTTTTTTTCCTTCTGTTTTCTGGTTGAGGAAAACATTTCCATGTTCATAAAAACAAGGAACTAAAATTAGATAGGGAAGAACTGAACCTTGACTCATGGTGGGAAAAACATTATTTTTACACTGAAGAATATTTATAGGCCCGGGCTGTATGGAGAAGTTAGGCGGGTGCTAGCTAATGAGCACTTGAGACATCTGTCCGGTTCACACTGGATGAACGGTGTCGCCCTCTCCCCCCACGCCACGCGGCCAGCTGTGCGTGTCTGTCACGGCTCAGCCATGAGCTGCTCATGCTCCTCCCTGCAGAAGATGTGACGCTTCCCAGCGCTCCAGGCCAACGTTGAAGAATTATGTTTGCTACGAAGTTTTTATAAAGATTCGTCGTCTTTGTGAAACTGAAGACGCTTTACAGGTAACTATTAAAGGAATCAATCTCTTCAACACATTAAAGCCACGTTCATCTTGACGTTCAGAGCTCTGTTCTGAAACCTTGCCGGGCCTTCGCCTCCCACCACATCCAGTGGCAATGTCTTCCTTTTGTTCCTCCACCCACAGCTTCCATCAGAGCATGTGCAGGGTGCCCAGGGCTGAGTGGCGAGGAGGGCGTTTTGTCTATGAGCAGGGGCTGAGGGAGCGCGGAGGAGCCTGGGAGGTGGGGAGTCAAAACATGCTAGAGACACGGGGGAGGAGGGGAGCCACAGGCAGTGACACAGAAGAGGAGGAGTCCCTCTCTAGTGCTCTCCACGGAGGACTAACTGGGTGCCATAGGGTGAGGAGGGGGCAGCTTGTGGGAGTGAGGCTGGACCCTACGTCAGAAAGCACCAGGTGTACGACGCAGGTCCCAGGTCAAGGCGGAGTGAAGTCTTGAGGCTGGGAGTTCCCACACTGCCAGGATTTTAAAGAAGGAAAGACAGACTCATCTCATGACAACTGAGGTGACAGAGCCCAGAAAGACCGAGCAGGACATAGTAGTGTCCACGAGAGACCACCGCCAGCCAAGATGGAAGTTTCAATAGAATCATGAAACTAACTCTCCCTGGCACCAGTGCAAGATTGTAGTGTTTATCCACTGAAGTTTCCATAATTATCTCTAAAACAAATAAAATTTTTAAAAAATAGCCTAAGCTGGGCACCGATGGCTCACACCTGTCATCCTAGCTACTCAGGAGGCTGAGATCTGAGGATCAAGGTTCAAAGCCAGCCCAGGCAGAAAAGTCTATGAGACTCTTATCTCCAATAAACCACTAGAAAACTAGAAGTGGTGCTGTGGCTCAAGCAGTAGAGTGCTCACCTTGAACTGAAGAGCCCAAGGACAGTGCTTAAGCCCAGAGTTCAAGCCCCACGACCAACAACAACAACAACAAAAATAGCCTAAAGCCATTTGTCAAAAACAAACAAGCCCTACTGCAATATCAGCAATCTGTTAGATTCTGGTGGTCAGCCGTGTTAAACAACGGGGTCAGCCGCGACAGGGGGACTGGAGGACCCAGATCCGACACCGAGGACTGAATGAGCTCAGACAGAACACCAGGACCCACGTGACCCCCACTCCGACCCCCCACCCCACCCGCACCACGGCCTGCCCTCCCGGGGGCTAGGCCGTCGTGTGGCTGTCCTGCTCCTCTGCCTGTGCTGTCTGAATAAGAGTACCTGCGCTAGGACACTACCCTCCTTTAGCCACCATGTGACAACTGAGGCTCCCCCAATACCTTGGTATTAAGGAGGCAGTGCGCCGAGTAACCGATACGAACATTCTTGCCACTGGAAAAGCGCATCCTATTCCCCCAAGTAACCTAATGCACTGGCACCTAGTTCAGAGGTTGATCTCATGAATTAGTCCTCCTAAAATGTACTGCTCTGAACACTGACAAAACTGTGGCCCAGGTCCCTAAAACTTCATGACCCCAAGAACCTCTGTCCCTCCAAAAGGCTGCAACAGCATCATCTACCTCAACCGCTTCTACTGCATGATTTACAAAATCTGTACTTCTGGGGCTGGGAAGGTAGCTCAGTGGTAAAGCGCTTGCCTTGCATGCCTGAGGCCCTGGGTTCAATTCCCCAGCACTACATAAGCAAAAAGAAAAAAAAAGCCGGAAGTAGCGCTGTGGTTCAAGGGGTAGAGCACTAGCCTTGAGCTGAAGAGCTGAGGGACAGCGCCCAGGCCTAGAGTTCAGGCCCCACGACTGGACCAAAAAAACAAAAAAACAAAATCTGTACTTCTATCTTTTTTTGGGGGGGTGGAGGTAGACTAGAGTTTGAACTCAGCATATCATGCTCATTTGATTTGTTTGCTCCTGGCTGGTACTTTACAACTTGAGCCACGCCTCCAGTGCTGCTCTTTGCTAGTTATTTTGGAAATGGTCTCTTTTATGCTTGGGCCAGCCTTGAACCACAATTCCCCAGATCTCCACCTCCTGAGTAGCTAGGATTATAGGCATGAGCCACAGCTTAATCTAATTTCTTACCTCTAACTTGCCTTTTCCTACAATAAGTTCTAATTAATTGTTAACATTAATGTGGTCAGTAGCTCCACTGAAATATAACTCAAGCTATGAAACCCACTCATCTAAAATATATAATTTCAGTGATTCTTAGTATATTCAGTGTACATCCATCACCACAACCAACGTTTTCATCACCCCCAAAGAAAACCTGACCACTATAAACAGTCATCCCCCATTCCCCCAAGTCTCTGGTGACCTGGCGGTCCCTCATCTGCATTCACCTAGTCTGAATATGTCATAAAGTAAAATCTACAATATGTGGCTCGACTTCCTTCCTTAGCATGAAAGTTTCAGCTACGTGGACAGACCACATTCTTTGTCTCCATTCATCCATGACACACACGTAGGTAGTTTCTGTATTTCGGCTGCTCTGTGACATATGACCTCAGAGTCCTGGACACGCTGGGAGTGGACCTGCCGGGTCATGTGGTCACTTCTCCAGCTCACATCCGACCAGCAATGCTATGGGTAGTCTGAGAGGTTTGGGGACAGAGACTGTAGTTTATACATCCTGTGTCCTCATCTATAATAGAAACTCAAAAACTCTGCTCAGACAATGGATGTGTGCAAAAACAGTGTTAAAGGAAAAAGTAAGAACTAGAGGCATAGCTCAAGCAGCAAAGTGCCTCCTCCCCAGCCCTGAGTTCAAATCTAATACTGCAAAGAAAGAAAGAAACTGGGTGCTGGTGGCTCATACCTGTTATCCTAGCTACTCAAAAGGCTGTGGTCTGAGGATCATGGTTCAAAGCCAGCCTAGGCAGGAAAGTCTGTGTGACTCTTATCTCCAATAAATTACTTGGAAAAAGCCGGAAGTGGCACTGTGGCTCAAGTGGTAGAGCACTAGCCTTGAGTACAAAGAAGCTCAGGGGCAGTGCCCAGGCCCTGACTTCAAGCCCCAGGACCAGCAAAAGAAGAAGAAGAAGGAGGAGGAGGAGGAGGGAGAAAGGGAGGGTGGGGGAAGGGGAGGAGAGGGGGAGAGGGGGGAGAGGGAGGGGGAGGGGAGGGAAGGAAGGAAAGAAGGAAGGGAGGGAGGGAGTTTTGGAAAAGGCTGGGAGAGGAAGGAAGGAAGGACGAAGTGAAGCCTGCCCACAGAGCACAGGGCCACCTTTCATACCTATTCTCTACCTGATGTGCACTGTGCACCCTTGCAAAGTCTCTTGGGGAAGCTCCTGAATAACTGGTTGTGCGATTCTAGTGCTGGGGACTAAACCCAGGGCTCTGAGTAGGTGATACAAGTTTCTGCACTTGAGTCATGGCCTGCAGGCCTTTTGCATGTGTCTTGTTTGAGGACAGGGTCTTCTTGGCAACCTTGTCAGGTACACAAGATCTTCCTCACTCCACCTCCCAAGCAGCTGGGATTAGAGACATGTAATCCTGGGCATTTTTTTTAATCTGCCTGTGGGCTTGAATAACACCCTAAAATCAGTAAACATTGACTGGGGCTCCACACACCTGAGGGCCACCCGGCAGACACAGTCACAGCCGTAACGCAGCTTCCCTGAGCTGCCAGTGAAGAGGAGCTGCCAGAGCAGGCCCTCATCGCCTGTAGACTTTACCATGCTCCCCAAATTCTCAACAATATCAGATTGGAACCCCTGCTATTTCCAGTGCCACCTGCTCCGCCACAGAGGGTCCCTGCTTCTTGTTTTGCAAGCCTGTGCTGATTGGCATGGTATCTATTCTCCTAGCTACCCAAAAGGTGGACATCAGAAGGGTTTTTGTTCAAGGCCAGCCCAGACAAAAAGTTAGCAAAACTCTGTCTCACTAAACAAGCGAGGCACAGTTGCATACACCTATCATCCCAGCTACGAAAGAATAGGAAGGAGGACCATGGTCCAATGTCAACCCTAGGCAAGAGCAAAATCCTGTCTGAAAGATAGCTAAACTAAAAAGGGCTGGAGGTATGGCTCAAGCAGTTACAATACCTGCCTAGCAAGCACAAGACTGAGTTCAAACCCAAGTACTGTATCAAAGAGAAGAAGAAGAACAACATCAACAACAATGAGGAGGAGGAGGAGGAGCAGGAGGAGGAGGAGAAGCAGCAGCAGCAGCAGCTTCTTGAATTTCTTCTCTTCTACTCTAGAGCACACTGATACGCAGTTACACCAACAAGTTTACATATTATCCCTTGTTTTAACTACACACAAACAAAATAAAAATGAACTATGAACTGGCGGCCATGTTTGGGCATGGAGCTCCCACAGGAGCCAGCGTTTCTCTTGAAGGCGTTCTATATTAAGGAAGCGTGTGGGAACGGCGCTGGCTGCGGAGAGCAGCCCACGTCCCAGGCTGTCGGGACATCTGGCAGGAGGAGGGCAGGCCGGCTGGGCACAGGGGGTGCGTGGGCTTGCTCAACCTCACAGAAACCAGAGGGGAGCCTAATTTTACCACACTGTATTAGACATTTTGAGTTCATCTTGAACAAGAAAGTTCCTAGAGCTGCTTGCGAGTTTTCTTTTTTTTTTTTCACTTTGCCTTAGTTACCAACTGTTTATTGAACCCACAATTCCACAGTAGCCAAGTCCCAAGCCAGCTTGAAGAGGACAACCAAAACCCCTTTATTTGTCTTTTGAATAGATCTACATTTTATCTGAATCACAGTACTAATCTGACTTACAGTGAACAAAATGAGCATTTCAGTCACGAGCTGGGTGTGATGGTGCACACCTGGAACACCAGCACTTGGGAGGATGAACCTGGAGGAACTCTATCAGTTGAGCACCAGTGACTCATGCTTCCAACCCTGGCTACATGGGAGACTGGGACTGGAGCTGCAGTTCTAGAGCAGCCAGGCAGGAAAGTCTCCACATAGGGAAGGTGGGAACCCATGTGTGCATCCCATGGTGATGTACACTAGTGACCACAGCCAAGATGGGAAGTAAGAACCTATACTGGAAATAATCACTGAAAACCAGGGCTGGGTATAAGCAAAAAGCCTAGTAAGGGCACAGGGCCTGAGTTCAAGCCCTAGTCCTGCCAAACAAGGAAATAAGAAACACTACCAAAAGATTACATAATTCATACAATATCCAGCACTGGCCTGACTGTGAACTTTCAGGGTGTTTTCTGAAGTATGTGACTGCCAAGTGTCTCTTTTGTCGGTTGTGGGGCTTGAACTCTGGGCTTGGGCGCTGTCCCTCAGCTCTTCAGCTCAAAGCTAGTGCTCTACCACTTGAGCCACTGTGCTACCTGGTTTTCTGATGGTTTATGGGAGATAAGAGTCTCATGGACTTTTCCTGCCCAGGCTGGCTTTGAACCTCGATCCTCAGATCTCAGCCTCCTGAGCAGCTAGGATGACAGGCGTGAGCCACCAGCACCCGGCTTCCACATGTGTCTTTCTCCAGGATCCTTCTTACAAGTTCCTCCTCTGAAAGCAGTAGAGTTTTATCAAAAAGTTAAATAGTTACCAAAAGTTACCATGCAATGTAGCAACTCCATTCCCAGTTATGTTCTGAAGAACCCAAGAAATTTACTTAAATGAAACTGTGCAGAGGATATCCAAAGCAGCCCAAATGTTCATCAACAAGATATGGAAAAACAAAGTGTGGTTCTAGCCTTACAAGGGAGTACCATATGCTTATATAAAAGGAGTGAAGGAGCTGGGAAGGTGGCTCAGTGGTAGAGTGCTTGCCTTGCATGCCTGAGGCCCTGCGTTCAATTCCTCAGCACCACATAAGCAGACAAAGCCGAAAGTGGCGCTGTGGCTCAAGTGGTAGAGCGCTAGCCTTGAGCTGAAGAGCTGAGGGAAGGCGCCCAGGCCCAGAGTTCAGGCCCCACGACCAACAACAACAACAACAAAAAAGGAGTGAAGCAATGTCACATGAGCCTTGAAAAGATGAAAAGGAAGTCAGAGACAAGAAGTCACATGTTGTAGGATTCTGCTTGTATGGGTGCTAGAGATGCTTGGGATTTGGGAAGAATGGGCAATTATTTAATGGGTGTAGGGACTTTTCTTTGGGGTGATAAAAATGTTTCGGAACAGGCAGAGGTGACAATTATACAATACTGCAGCAACATTACAACTTCATGTCACTGAGTCATTTGATTTAAACCACTGATGGGATGTTAGGAGCCTTTCGCATGCACGTCTAGAGGCAACAGGACGCTGGGAGTCCACGGGGAACGGGAAGGACGAGGCTGGCAGGACGTGGGCCCCGGCTTCAGTGAGGCAGTGGAGAGAGCTTCTGAGAGGTTCACAAAGGCAACTTCTGCCAGCAGCCACACAAAGAACTCCCTGCCTGAGGGGGTCTCCTGACCATCAGAGACTAGTTGTGACCACCGCGGGGCTCTTGTCTGTGCAAAGTCTGCGCTGAGCACCTGACATGTGAGGAGACACTGGGCACAAAGGGGGGCAGTAGGCCAGGCCACACCCACTCTTAAATCGGCCACAGCACGGTGGCCATCTATCTAGCTATCTGGAAATCCTAGCTCAGCTTTCGCCCACCAGACACCAGATTGCTACTTTGGTGTCTGAGCCCCTGGCCGGCTTGCTTTGTGTGCACAGCTGGCATCACCGCAGCACACGGTGTACAGCTTCTTGTGTTATCTGTTTGGATCGGTCTACTACTCCACAGGGTAAGTTCCCGGGGACAGGGGTGGGAGTATTGTCACCAAGTGTCCTAGCATGGAGAACAGAACCTGCTGTGCGTTCTGTCACTGTGGAGTGTTCTTCTGAGCCACAGTCACGGCAAACAGTCCTGAGCCCAGGAACACGGCCTGGGAGAGGCCCGGGGACCATGGACTCCAGATCAGGCCAACGAGTCGCATGAGATGTAGGGTTGGCTGGAGATGCTGCTGCTTATATCTGTTTATGTCAGCAACACGTCTGGCCTGCGGTATCTTCTTTTTGGTGGCACTGGAGTCTGAACTTGGGGTCTTGTGCTTGTTGGGTAGGCTCCTGCATAAGCCATGCCCCCCCCCAGCCATTGGTGCTTTTGTTATTTCTCAGAGAGGGTCTCACACTTTTGCCAGGCTGGCCTCATACAGCAATCCTCCTATCTTTCTGCCTCCCACATAACTGAGAATATAGGCGTGCACCACTGCACAAGCTAGCTTCCACATTTTCTGAGCCCTCCACCCTCAACTAGCACTTCTTATGGGGTGACATCAAATATGTGGGTTTCAGTGATGATGAAAACAGGTTTTGGAGGGAAGGATGGTAGGGTAAAAGCAGCATTCCCTGAACACCTACAAGATACCTTTATGGACACATCCTTCATGTTGGGTGTCTCACTTTTCCCAAGAGAAATTAGTACTCCAATTGGTTTCTTTTCTAAACTAAACTATACACCATGCTAAAGTAAGAACATAACTACTCTGATAGTGCGCGCTGGCAGGCTGGCTCTTGGCCGAGCCCTGGGCAATAACAAGCCTTCCTAAAACAAATGACAAAAACCCAGCATGGTTCCAATGCTAAATGTCAGATGACCAGACCTCTAGCATGAAAATCTATACATGCACCTTCAGTTCAAACTAAAAAGGAAAAAATGAGACTGCTCGGGCTGGAAAGGTGGTTTAGTAGCAGACTGCTTGCCTAGGATGCATGAAACAGAAACAGAAAAAAACAGAAGTGGCGGTGTGGCTCAAGTGGTAGAGTACCAGTCTTGAACAAAAGAAGCTCAGAGACGATGTCCAGGCCCTGAGTTCAAGCCCCAGGACTAAAAGGAAAAAAAAAAAAATGAGCTCGCTCTTCCTGGACAGTATGTGGAAGGGCACAGGCAATATTCCCACAGCATCCCCACAGCTTCTCACAAAGCACTTTCCCAAAATTCTGGTATATTTACATTAAAAAAATCAATGCTCTTTTAGGGCATTTTAGCTTTATAAGAAGTTACAGAATTATTCATTTGAATTAATGATCAACTATAAAACTGAATCCATAACTCCCATTTTCCTTTTTCTTTTAGGTGGCACTGGGGTTTGAACTCAGGGCTTTGTACTTGCAAGGCAAATACTGTATCACTTGAGCCATAACTTTCCATTTGTTGTACAAGGAAATTTCATTTAACATATCCATTTATGTGTACATGTCCATTATGTGTACACCAAGATTCTCAGGACCGAAATCCTCCTAACTATGTTTTTGTCTCCCATATTGCTGAGATGACAGATTTGCACCAACATGTGGCTTATTCACTGGATTGTGGATCTGCCTTTTTTTCCTTTTCTTTCTTTCTTTTTATTTTTCTTTTGCTTAGTCTGGCCTGGAACTGTGATCCTCCTGATCTCTACCTTCCAAGAACCAGGTATAAGCCACTGCATGCACACGCCCATTTTCTATTTTTACATATGCAAAAGAAGTCTATTTTTGGTCATACAGAAAACATGCTTTGTTTACTAAGACAAAATATGATGTAAATTTTTCCCTCAGTTCCTCTTTAAAGATACACTAAAAATAACTAATAACATTTTATTCAACCTCTACTTGTGTACCAATCACCTCATTTATTCAGATGATAGCAGACAACCAGAAAATGGTCTAAAGACTAAATTTTTAGTCCTTTTAATCGAACTCTATCTGCAGGATTAAGCTGCTTGGTTATTTTTTTTTGGGGGGGGG